CCCCATCCCTGGAGGTATTTAAAGGACAGATAGACATGGTGCTCGAGGACATGGTATAGTGATGGACTTGGCAGTGACAGGTTAACGGTTGGACTTGATGATCTTAAGGGTCTTTTCCAACCTGAACGATTCTATGATTATATTGGATTACTAATTAACCTCCTTTCTTTAACAACAATGACTAAATAAAGGAAAATATTGGAAAACATGGGGGCAGAATCTAAACATCAGCAACTAAGTCACTACTTTAGAAAACCTAAATTTCTAAAAGACAGATTTTATAACAAATTAATCAGCTTAATATTGTAAAAAGACTGCCCCCCCCCCCGTGCAATATAGTTCAGATTGTCTATGGGTTAAAAATACTGAAAAATACAAATCAGAAAATATTTAAAACAAAAGGCCACAGAACATCAACATACAAACATTTGTATACATGTGTGTGTGTATGCGCATGTGCACTTATTTATAGTGTCTTTCCATGAACCAAAAATTCAATGGTAAGAATATCAAAATTGAATCTGTCAATTACAGAAATATATGATTTTCTAACATTCTAAATCAAAACAGTGCAGCTGATTGAGCAGATCAGGTTTTTGTCTCTAATTTCAAGTGCTAATTCATATTATGTTTGTTAATTTGATTCTTTTCTTTACTACGTTTTTAATTGAGTCCCGTTCAATCTACATGAACAACTTTATTAAAAAAAAAATTATAAAAAAGTCAGTCCTTTTGCTATTTTAAATTCAACTCGAGTTAGCAAAAAAATAACACAATGGCCATTCATGGTTCTCCACCAAATATCTGCCCACCACCCTTTTTACAGCTGCATTTAAAAGGAATGCTAACGTTCCCGAGAGCTAAACCCCGCGAGCTGGCAGCCTGTTGTGGCAACCTCGCTGCGAAAGGCACCGGAGGCTGCATGGACAAGGGAATGAACGCTCCTCCTCTTGCCACAGTGGCCGCTTCAGAGGAGGAAAGTCCCGGGCAGCAGCACAGGGGAAGTCAGACAGCGGCTTCCCATGCTGCGCCTGCTCTGTGAGAAAACACAGGGGCTTCGGTCTCCAGCACTGTCAGCACAGCACCTTTTGTAAATGCTCCATTCAAGGGAGAAAGGTATATCGAATTGAAAAAAATTGCTCTTTGGAACAAAGTGCTGCTGCACACACACACACAAGAGCACGTATAACCTCCAGGAAATGTATCTAAAAGGCACTTTTTTCAAATTGCATCCTGAAAGAAATCTACTAAAATAAATTGAACTGCAGTTACCAATCTGGATGTTGGCAATAGTTTCTGTCTGTCGGTCACAAAGCGGGCTCACACCCAAGTGATACTTTTTTTCAATATCTCCTAAAGAAATAAAAGTAAAATACAACCATGAAGTCATCAAGTCCAGACCCAAACGGAACCATCAAACACTGGTAGAAGTGAGTTGTGCAAGTTGGTTAACAAGGATGGTATCTTCCAGCAGGCTGAATGCATTTACTTCCCTCCCCCATCTCCCAAAAAAACCCAAGTAGGTCTGTCAGTGAGACTAACAGTACTCTATTTTTCAGCAAACCATAATTAAAGAAAAAAAACCATCAAATGACAGGTTTCCTGAAGGATTAACACACTTCCTTGCAAAACCTCCTAGACTGCTGTAGAAATGACAAATGAAGATCCCCCCTTAACAACATGGAAGAGAATAGCTTAGCCTTCAGAAATTTCTCACCGAAGGCAATTTGTTGTTCTGCTTCCCCACCACCTTGATCCAAGAATAAGCTTCACATGATTAGCACCAAATAAAACAGTTTGTTCCCCATTTATCGTATCCATGCACAAATTAGCATGTCTCAAGTCAGCTAGACTAGCCTGAAGAAGGGAGAAGCACACTTTATTTTATTATTAAAACAATTTAACAATAATGGAGACAATTCACTCCATTTGTCAATAAAAAGCTTTATTATCTGCTTACATAAGTAAGTAGCCTTAACTCTATGGTAACTAAAAATATCCTCCCCAGCTCTTACCTGCTTACCAACAGGCCTCACAGCCAAAGTTTAAATATTGAAGATACTTAATGAATATAATTCATAACTTACTGAAACCTCTAGGTAAACGTAAAGTGTGCATAATCTTTCACCTGAAGCGCCTTTCAGGCTGGAGGATCTATTGAACCAGCCATTCTAGATTCAGATTCCAAGCAGATTGTTCGTTGGGTCTTTGCAACAAGTACAACCCATGAAAGTAAAAAAATCCCATAATGTACTGTAAATCTCTATTAGTCCTAAATATAAGTCCCTTTATTTGCAAGCAGCTATGACTCATAGTCGTTCTTTCCACAAATACATTATGTACCAACAGATACTTCTACTCTTACTTGCCTTGATGGAAGAACTCCTCTGTTACTTTTTCACTCCACTGCTTACTCAGCTCCCACGTCCGACACGGATTACAAATATCAGCACACTTCAAAGCCATCTAGTAAGTTAAGATACAGTGTTAGATCACCTCTCCCTCCAACAGAAGCAACTGTAATTATTTATTTCCTGACAGCAGATTATTTTAAGTTTTGTGAATAACAAACCTACCTACCATTTGTGCTTCTCTCTAAAGTTATGTTCTGTAATCATACTTAGAAAATGCTCAGGGAACTATCAGATCTCATGATCATCTCTGAGTAATATGAAAATTCAGTCAAGTCAAAGTATTTCGGGGCACTATGTTTAGTATATTCACTAGTACAGGAGACAACAATAAATTCAGAAAAAGAAACATCAAAGTAAGCAGTCTTTTGCATGTCTGGCTCTAAAGTTCACATTTTTAATAATGTTTTGCACAGGACTGAACTTCTCTCTTTGTCCAGTTTCTTTTATAGCCCACAATATGAACCTAAAAATAAAAATTTCCATAAACCTAAAGACGACTCTCAAATCTTTTGTTTTTAAAGCTTGCTAAACCTCTCTCTAGCACAGCTGCAAACTGATTCACAACAATAGTGCTTTCCTTTCCTGAAATAGGTTCTGACAAAGCTTTTCACAGTTCTGAGACTGCACTGGAGTCATCAGAAGAACTAAACCTTGTCTTGGTAACACAACTCTCCTTGGTTTAGCAGCTCTAAGCTATCAGTCTTACCAACACACAACATCACTTGGGAGAAGTGCTGGGAGGAGGGGGAAGACTGAAGTGGAGGGAACAACCTTTTTGTAATGAAACAAAATGACTAAAAGATATTTATACTTCACTTTGAAAGTAGGAGCTGGTCTGGAAGAAGTAGTATTTAACATTTTAAGTAAATTATTGTTGATGCTAAAATGATGTTTTCAAAAATGTTACCAAAAATATCACCTGTAAAATGAAGTGACGATGGTTCGCATTCTCTAAACATAGGTCTCCTCTATCCAAATGGGATCGAAACATGGACAGATACTCATTTTGCTGACTGATGTCTGTGGCAAGAATGAGATCACCTATCTGGCTTTCCATCAGCTGCCTGAAATTAGTGATACCAAATATTCAAAAAGCGTAACAATTAAGAACAGCCATCACTAGATTTACATGTCTTTTTATCATATTATTATACAAATACAAGCTTTATAATCAGCATTTTCACTGAACTGCTGGATTTTTTTTTATTTTCCCCCCTCTAAAAAAATCCTACAACATCCATAGAAATATTAGGATGTTTCATTGGCAGCTTTCAGGAAGACTAAAACAATTTTTAGGTGGTTCCCCCCCCCGCCTTTTTTTTTTTTTCCTTAAAAATGCACAAACTAATTGTTTAAAGCTTATTTCTTGCTAAAGTAGGTGAAGAGGTTCTATTTTAAACTGCAGTTGTGGTGGCAGAATGAGAAAAGGCTGCCAAGTTTAATCTAAACAGGTGCTCGACTATATGAATACACTTCTTCAGTGTGCTCGCAGTAAATTTTATTTTCTGAATATCACATTGCACCATGAACTGCTCTACTCCAACAGCATGGTATCTGGGAATTCTTAAAATAGACCACAATCTACGTTTTGTATTCGGAACTGCCATGCAATAATTTAGCTTTTTTTGCAAGGCTGTCTTACTTAAGTGACAGCTTACTTACATCTTAAACTAATCTACGCTATTTTGTATAAACATACCTGTTTTCTAATGACATATGTGCAAATAAACCTGACTCTCTCAGCAACCCCACTGCTGATCTCCAGTGATGGTTCTCCAATACTGAGGTATTCTGCGAATGAGAAGGATATTATATGTATCAATCAATGACTTTTTCTTACACTAAAGAGCTATATACTAAGAGTGGTACCAGACAGTTTCGTTGGGTTTTGGGGGTGGTATTTTTCTCTTCCTGAATACTTTTGTTAGCTTGCAATTTTTTTTTATCCCAGTGACACGGAAACAACGTCCTGATTCAAACCTACCCCCAGCTAAACACATCACAATTTATACTCCTCTTCTGTACTCCGCAGGCGTTCTCCAAACTTGGTTTTTACAAAAACCCAATTTTGTCCTTACCTTATATAAAGTTGCTAAGTAATGGTTTGTTTTAATTAGGAAAGGTTGGTTAACGCCTGGGTGATCCAAGTCATGTGTGGCAGCTGCTATTAAACTGAGCAGAACATCCCATGGAGTTAAAGATTTGGAAAGCTGTAAGATAATAACAACAAATGTAATTGTTAGCAATGCAAGCATGCCCTTAGAAAAAGTCCATGGGTGTCACGTTTTTTTTTTCTTTTTTTAGTGATTAAATGCCAATAGAAACTCAGAGAAAATTTGAATATGTAGAACTAATATTCCACTGACTTTTCACAGTGTTTCCCCCCAAAAAGCCACAAAATCTCAACAATGGTTTAAGCATTCTTCTTTCTGAATGGGAAGGTTGAGTCTTAAAAAATGCTGGCATAGAAAATGCTACTTTCTGGCTGGTAATGAAGTACTATTCCTAACCAGATCCTGCAAAAGCAGCAAATTCTTAAATTTAGCTCTCCATCTCATTTACCAAGTCTGTCTGTATGTGTCAATTCTGCTTTAAATACAGGGTATATTTTAAAAACCATAAAAACCTTTCATCTTAAAATGAAGAAACTAATGCTCTGGAAGACTTTAGAACTGTTCAGAATGGATTTCTACTCTTACACAAAATTATATTTCAAACTCTACCAGGAAAAGAACCGAAGGAGGAAAGTCTGCCAAAAATAAGTATTTTCAAGAAGTATGTGCATGCCGATTAACTCGGCGTGAAACTGCATGGACTTATTTTCACTGTTCATAGCTGTTACTACTTCTGTTTGGGAGGTCTCTGAGTTAAACTCAGTAATAAAGTCTGGCTTGCATTAAAACAGAGGGAATAGTTCTGCCTGCGCAAAAGTGAAATGCAGTAAACACCCTGCGAGGACAGAAGTTTATATTCCGTGTTGCATTTGCCATCTATCATGCCTCACATGTTTATAATGTACTTTGGTGCAACAGAACCAGTAGCTGTATATGTTACTAAAAATACAAAGTCTATACTTGTACCCGAAGCATTACAAAATTTCCATCACGAGTATTAAATAAAAAATGCTCAGAGCTTCCAAACTGCATGCCATAAAAAAAGCTCATCATGTATCAGCTCTGATTTGGCTCACTGCACCGACCATTGATCTGAGAGCAGCACTGAGAAACTGAGTTGGAGGAGTGGGCAAAGAGCCTCTGAAAACCACCCATGGAGCCAGAACTTACTTGCTTTTACCTCGGAAGCAGAATGAAGAGCTGTGCTGCTCAAGAGAATACCAGATTGGTGATAACCTGCATCAAGGTAGACAACTTCTCACCTGGCTAGAGAGCACTACAGTTTTCAATTTAATACAGAAGGACAGGATTTAGCCCTGAAATTTTCTGAAGCATCACTTACAGCAGACTGCCAGCAGTCCAAGTAATAAGAAACAAACACTCAACTAGCTCAGCTCTTTAAGGTCTGTCACACTGCCCCTTTTTAGAAAGAAAGGCCAAAGAGAACTACTGATGTCTTGCTATAAGGTGGCTCTAGCAGAAGCATGCTATTCATTAACGTCAAAGACGAGCAAAGCAAGGGCAACAGTAGTTTCTGGAGGAAAAAAAAAAAAACACCAAAAAACCCTCCAAAAAAACCCCACCAAACCAAACCACTTCAAACCATGAATACACAAGTTTATTATTGCCAGCTCTGACTCAGGCTGCGATTCTATGTAAATGTCATGGGGCACAGCGCTATGTTCAACAGCTGCAATCTTAATCAATTCCCTACTCTGGTTCAACATGAAGTCACACAAAAGACAATGCCAGCTCAGAAGAGGGAAAAAAGAAAAGCATACTGGCAAGTGTGAACCCACAGCCTCAGCAACATGGAGATTCCTCCCCCGCCTCTTTGTGTTCAAAAAGCATTTTTTGTTGGGTTTTGGGGTTTGTTTGTTTGTTTTTAATAAAAAGTGTGTGCATATACACATATATGTATATATGTGTGCACACAATCCAGTTATATGCACACACACAAATACATGTATTTCTGTATGTACATGTGATGGAAAAGTGAGAACGCTTCCTTACCTTGGGCTCTTTTAAGTAACAGTGCATGGCCTGAGTCACATCAGCAGCATGAACTGCATTATGATAAGGGTTTTGACTGTGATAATCTTCTTGAACCATAACTGCAGGAAAATAACAAATATCCAAATTTAAATAAAATAGCAATTTTTTCAAGTACCATTTTGTATGTCCTTGTTAGGCACAGAAATATGCAATATCACAAGTTACATACACATAAAAGTGTCAAAGTCAATAAATCGTCAGTGGAACCAAGACCCAGGTATAAAAGATTTTTATGTGAAGAAACAATATTTTCTAAAGGAAATCAACTACATGTAAAGTCATCTCAGAGCAAAAATTAAACAACTTGAAATCAATATATAATCTGAGATACTTTGACTTTGAGAACTTCCTAGGAAAGGCTCCCTTTGATAATCTAGCCTGTATGAATGTTGAGGCAACCTGCAATACAAAATGAAGATGATACTATTTACCAAAGCATCGGGTTGACTTCATATCATGCCTTGAAAACAGACAGGATCAGAGGAATTAGGCACTGCTTTCCTGTCATATGAAGTGCTTTTCTTTCCCCTTCAGGAGAGTGGTCATGGGAAGCCACCTCTACATAGTTTAGGCGTCTTCTCATACTTGTACTCAGGCAAATTTAAGCCTATACGCAATTTAGAAAAGAATCTCATTTAGATGATGGTCTGACTAACCACTCCTAGATTTAATATTCCCTATTTAACTTCTTCCTTGCTTTCCTCCTCTTTCCTCCACCTTCCTGGCTGTCTTTAACTTCATAGGTAGAATACTTTAAAGGACATCCACATTAGCTTGAGTACGTAGAGTAAAACAACTATAATGTTAAAGAGGATGGAGGGGGAGAAGATCTGAAGCACACCAATCAAACTGTATTCTAAAGTTTTGCCTGATATGACACATTAGCTCTTTCAAGCAAGCCTTCAAAGAACGTTTTCCTGGCTGACTACGGTCCGTCAGTCCCATTCAAACAACCTCTTTTCCTACTCAGTTTACAAGCCAGTACCCTCCATGTAATTGTGACTGCAATGTTAGAGCATTACTGCCATGGTATTTGTGAAGTGCTGCGGCTCATGAAAAGTGAAAATACTGTAACCATCGTGTCATCTCAATAGTACTCAATGCATAGTTGACACCTCATATGGAAAATAACGAAAATAAGCATCTTTGGACTCTTATTAACCTGCAATAGAACTCCCTTTCACCTGTTTCTCAGATCCAGTGCGTGAATGAGGATGTCCTTGGCTTACTCCTCAATTTTTTGTGGCTTTATAGGCTGGTCCAACTACCTGAAGTCTACAATTTCCTTAACTTATTTATTTTAATAGAGCAGACCTAGGACAGTATTTTGATCACCGTTTGCCAGAACTAGAATGGCACAACAATCCTATGTTTCCAGGAATACAGTACTTTGGATTTTCTCTCCCCCTGTTCGGGTCTGGAAGAAGAACTTGAAAACACACAGTAGGAGACAACAGATCTCTAAGTAACCTTCGGAAATCACAGAAAGACTGTGTATATGTACAAACAAACAAACATACACATACATACACACATACACATGTGATATATATATACACAAAAATAAAACGTTGAGATCCTACTGAGGACTAAAATCAGATTTCTCTTCTTAAAAAGATTCCAGTAAGTTCTCAAATACAGTGAATTTTGTGTGGCACTATGGACCACTTGAGCTGTCTAGCCTTCTGGAATTTGATCTTCAGATTACTTTGGACTAGGGTATGAGAGGCAGCAAAAGAAAAGACTAAATTGGGTTCATGCTAGGAAGCTGTATTTGGAGGAAATGTTCCTTGATCGGACAGATGGGCTAGGACAGAAATGTTTTATTACTGCTATTAAGTAGAAGGCATCAATGAAAAAGGGAAAGCGGTGAATTTCAAAGCTAGAATAAAATTTGCCTTCTTGCAAGTCTAATCTCATTTTAGTGACTTATGGCTTTGAGTAGATATATGTAGTTAAGACTATTGTTGTCTTTTGATAACCATTTAACTAACCAAGTCATTCCTAACTGGTTTTTCATTTCAACTACTGTCTTTTGCTAAATCTCAGATAACCAGGAAATGAGCAAGATGAGAAAGACAAAACACACTCAGTTACAACCTGAGTAGCCTAAGACCAGATTTCTATAATCATTTTCTTCACATTCCAATATGTAAGTCCTCAAGGTCAACTGATCTACTTTTTTGAAACTGGAAGGAATTGAGTCCACTTTAAAACAACATGAAATGCAAGACAGAACTGATTTTTTTTAAAGCTGAAAGAGAACTAAATGATGAAAACAAAAACATTCCCTTATTTGAAAGGGGAGAAAAGCCTTCCAAATGTGATTTCGCCTCTGTTAAATGACAAGCTTTGTGACCACAAAATTGTTTTCTATGAAACTGTGAAAGCCTGCTAAAAGGGACCAGAAACTTGTTTCTCCTGCTTAGTTTAAAAAAAGGCAGCCCACTTCACAAAATGAAACAAAAGGTACTGTCACAGAAGAACCAAAGGAAGGAAGTCACACACCAACGTCTGTGTCTATGGTATGGGGATGCAGAAAGCCAGCTCTTCCAGCTGTCAAGTGAAAGTAGCACTTGGTTTGAGTATTCTACATCGTATTTACAATTATTTCTGTTGGAACATTCCATTGCCACAGACCCAAACATTTGAGTAAAATTGTCTTGTGCTCTGTCTGTTGAGAAAGTATGCCCACACAGTACAGTGCTTATTTGTAGGAGAGTCTGAGTAAGCAAGAGAGCATCAAATTGGCACCATTAAATATGGCCAAGCTGGCATGTTCAATACAGTTAGGAAACTATTTCACGAACTTCAGAAATTAAGATTAAAAGAGAACTGAAAATCAAAACAAAGAAAGGAACTGTTGAGCCTTTCCCAATAAAAATGTCACACAATGTCACATATATTCCTGATTATTTAGATTTAATAAATACAATACAGCATCTGCTACAAAACTACTGAACTTGGTAATACTTGCTTGGATTTAACATGGAGATTTCTATACTCATAGAAACTTTGAGAGATTGTCTCAATCAATATAATCTAAATCACTGCACAATCTGGACTGCATCAGTACTCTTCAACCCTTATTGCTAAACTATAACCAGCACTTCAGTTAAGGTATAAAAATGCGGATAAACAGCAATATTCATCATAATAAAAAGCTGTATTTACCCAAAAATCTACGAAGTTTCATCGTATCTAACTGGAAGTGTTCAATTAGTCCATGAAGATTAAACAGATGAAAGGTTAAGCTGACTAGACTGTTTCCTAAAAATAAGATGAAAATACTAAATTCATTGGAAGCCATGAAATCAGTGACTCTTTCATAAGAAATGTATTATTTCAAACAAATTGGTCACAAAAATTATACAAGCAAATTTCTCTACACCAATTTATGATAAAATACTTAAATCCTACTGCATGACAAGATTCCATTAGCTATCTCCTCTAGTAATCACCAGTGTTTGTGCATAATTATAATACATTCACCAATTGTCCACTGTCAACTGATAAGAGGAAAACGTTACTGAACATTAAAAAAAGCAACAGGTTTGAACGTACAAACCTGTTACAACGGTATTCAACTTTGTGGTACGTTGCATCATGATTCTTATAAACAGACATACAGTTTAAAACTGAATACAAAAATAACCAGGCGAAGGAAAAAGCTAACCAACACTATCAATTAGTGTACATAGTACATATGGTATCTCTCATTTTCATCATGTATTTTGCTAAACTATTCCTTATTTCACCAAGAACCCAAAGAAAAAGTTTGAAGTTTCTCTTGGAAATTTATACTATTAACAAGCTTACAATATACCTCACCTACTCATAGCTATAATACTACAATCACTTGCAGTGGTAAAACAAGTAAAACTGTAAGAGACAGAGAAATAGCTTGCAAATGTTTACTTGAAGTAGCTTGCTTATTTACTCTGCAAACAGTATGTAGCAGCAGATAACTCACTTTTGGTACACTGACAATCTTCATTTAGTGGGAACTAACCTAGCACAGACAGAAACTGAGATACAAAAGGCCAAAAATTTTTGCTAAATCGAGCTTACTACTAGGCTTGAAGTACGTGCATGTGCACACCACTTTCTCACAATAAGATACACAATTCTTTGAACAACATTTACTGAGTAGCTTGTTTCTTACAGGCTCGTCCAGGGTTGTTCATCAAGCAGAGTTTTATATACAGCGTTCTCCCCTTGCAAACTTTCAAGAACAAGACTGCCTGTTCAAAATGTCCTCCTAAAATGACTAAATTAGGATGCAAAGAGGATGGTATAGAAAGGCTTCCACAATAGAAACTGTACTGGTAGTATCAAAAATGTATTTGGAAAAAAAGCATATTTAAAAGGTAGAGAAGGTCTCATATAAAAAGGATGATTTCAGATTATTCCCATCTGATAAACTAATCTGATATAAGCTATGCTTGCAAACAAGTTAACTTGCACACATAGCTTTTTTCCATTGTTAACTAGTCTCAAGTTTATCGATGTATACAAACATTATATTCATAAAAATCCTCACTGTTTTCATTTTTTATATCTGGTCCTGTATTAAATCAAACTGTGAGGATACTACTTTTACACTAGACTAAGCCAAGCATTCCTTCAACAAAACAGGAGAGAAAATTATCTTTTGGTGCCCTGTTTTCCTTTCTGAACTTCATTTCTGTTTCTTTCCGCCAACTTTAGATGCTCTAACTGCATCTCTGCTACCAACTCTATTCGACTGATGTAAAACTTGCAAGAGCTGCCCTCCATTCACTTCCCAGACTGGCACAAACATTGCCATGATGCTGGACTCGCTCATCTTCTCCTTTCATTCTATTCAAAACTCAGCTTCCATTGCTGTGATTATAATACAAAACTACACCGTACCCACTGCAGCAGCCCTCCCTCCTCCTTTCCAGCACATCTACAGATCTCTCAACTGTCTGTCCAGAACTTAAACAATACTGTATTTGATATTTTTTAACCAACTACTTCTGTAGTTCCTACTGCTATTCGTAATGGGTGTGCTAACCTAACTATAATATTTTCTTCCTTTTTGTATTTTGTGCAAGCTATGCATACCGCAGCTTCTGTCTGCTCAACTCCTAATTCTCTAGGTATTCTATTATATGTCCTAATTATAATGCATTCATACCAACATGCCTTCTTATTGTACTGTAAAGTAACAGAGCTATTCTATCTAACATTAAATTTATCAGAAAAATACTTGTTCAATATCAATGACTTTTTGGACACAACCATATAAATTACCAGCATTCCATAATTAAAAAAAAAGACTAAATTAGAAAAATTATTGTTAATTTATATCAAATTACTACTTCAAATTACTACGAGAAAACAGCAACCTACAAAGTATAAGAAGGGCCTCTTCTGCAAATCAGTGATTATCATCAGTACTGACAGTAACAGTATTTTAACAGAGTGACCAGGCAAACTAGGATTTAGATTAAAGACTATTAAATCAAAAAGTACTACCTGATGAAATTTGTGCTTTTTAGTGAACAAGCAATCACATACCACAACATAAGAGCAATAGTTAAGTTATGCTAAGAGATAAAACAGAAATGAAATAGCAAAAGTAAACTCACCATTTGTCAGTCTATCAAAAAGAAAAATATCAAAATTCCAATTTCCAACCTTCTCCAGCATACACTGAAAGAAAACACAAAAGCTATCACTTTTTTCTCTATCCTCCCGTAGCCCAGAGGAGTATTTAAGATTTCAGAGACTGATGCAAGTGTTAGGATTTCTATATACAAAAAATAGCATTAAAATAATAATTAAATTTGTCTGGTAACTGGAAAACTTTAAAATACATGTTGCAAATTGAAAAACTGAAATACAAGAAGTATCTTGGCAGTACTGGCTTGAGATTTTCCCTTCACCCTTTAGTCAATTTCTTAAAAGAAATAAAATTTAAAACAATTAGGTTAACAGAAACAGTATGACAGAATAACTCTGTGTTCAGACTTCTTCCACTTTTAATTTTTGCAATGAGCTACTAGTTAATCTCTGTGTAGTCCTTCACCTTTTTTTTTTTCCCTTGTTGTTTACAGAAGAGAAACAATATCTAGATGCTTTACTAGACATGAGCCAAGCTTTTTTTTTTAAGAAACTAGCTTTTGACTTTCCACCTCACTGAACTAGCACTTCTTCACAGCTGCTCCACATGACCTGTTCTTCCAGCAAGAGGGATGAACGAGAACAGCAAACAGCACTCGAGGCCTCACCAGAGTTCAGCAGTCACAATCCTTGCTTCCCCTATCTCTATCAGAAATACCTGCCCAGCACATTTTACAATGGATACTTGCCTTCTCCTATTCTCATTAGACTGGTAGAGCTGTTTCATGATCCAATTACTATGTTCTAGCTTTTCTCCACCAGCCACTAAAACTCAGCTGCCAGAAGAAACAAACAGCATTAACAAGATCTTTCCGCTGTTTAATTAAATGTACATTTTTTTAAATCCATCCTCCAGGTTATCAGGTTCTTCCTACACTGCAGCCTGATTACATGCCACACGGATACGATGCATTGTAAGTGTACTCCTTTTCTGTGTCAAGGTGACGAACAAGAAGCTTTACACACAGCCATGAAGATGACACAGCCTTTGGGATCCTGAATAACCTGTAAACTTTGCCTGCTCATTCCTCTTCAGCTCTATCCATCCTCTGTCCCCAGTTCACGAGCCCTTCATCCAACTAACTATTCTTCTAGTACTGCCTGTCTTCTCAGTATGCTTTACAGCAGCGCAGGCATATTAGAGCTATCACACTTTTCTTTTCTAGAAGAATTGCCTACCAAAGAAAAAGTCAGTTTGGCATAATAATCTTCTGATAAATCCATTTATGCATTTTATTGAGTCTTCAGTAGTAGCTAGTCACTTTTCCAGATGTTCAGTAATAAGCTTAGACTAAAAAGTAAAGGGGGGGGTAATACTTGTCCAAATTGCTCCATTAAATTTCTTAAATAGTTACATTTTTCTTTCTTCACTTTTTCTTCAGTTATTACAGTGCATCCTCCATTCACTGCAGTTATTAAAAAAACTGCTAGCCATATAAGCTTTAAAAATCATCCCAGTAAACTTGTGGGAGGTGAAGGAGTTTGTTAAAAACCAGGTAATTTTGGCTAGACTTTATTAAGATACAGACATATATATACACACACTCAAACACACACACATATATAAAAAATACATGCTTAAAAATTTGTATTTGGCTGCACTATCTCTTAACATAAGATATAGTTATATACTAGTGAATATTTTTAAAAACAAACTTTAAAAAAAAAATCAAGCAACCAACCTTTGCTTGTCCATTATAATCATCATCTAAAATGTTTGAAGAATTTGGAACAGTGATACCACGGAAAAAACGGGAAGATCTCAGGTATCGCTGGAAACTAAGCAACCTTCTCACATTTCTCGCAGACACAGACACCTCGATTTCAGAATTTGCTACAAAAAACAAGAAAATAAATACTCTCTCTAATAAAACTTTACCAAAAAAAGACTGTTCAGGGAAGTTTGGTACAACAAAGGCACTGCATTTTTTTTTTTTATTAGTGAATCAAATGTTTCAGACACAGAGATTTTTATTAATAGGAAGTACAGAGCAATGGCTTAGAAAAGAAAGTTTTCTATGTAAGCATCCTGTAAAGAAAAACAAATATTTAAATCATAGCTGAAACTTATCTTCTTAAGGAACTCTGTTATTGAAAGGACAGAAATATTATGGAAATTGTGTAAAAACACACACAGTATTCCAAACAAGTTCTTTTTGGAAAACTGCTCTCATGTATACACTTCTAATCCGTGTCCCCAGCAAATCATGTAAGACGTACACCAGCAAGAGAGTATCAGTAATTGTGTGTTGATACAGGAGTTACAAGTACGTTTTGAGCATGTACAAATAAAACTTTCACACAGATTTTAAAGCTCAGAAATTCTCTTAACTTTACTGGCAAAGTTTTAAACACACTCAAGTGATTTTGGTGCTTTTGCAGATAATAATGCTCAGAATCTCTCCTCTGCCAAGCAAGGACCACATTTACTTTCACAGCACATATAATTCCCTTTCCCAATACAGCGAAAACACTACAGACAATTGTTTTAGCCTGTTTGCAAAGATTAATCCAAATATTTTGCTTTACTCTTATTAGGTTAACTGGTTTAGCCATTCTAACAACTGATGCTAGCTTATGTTCAATTCTACTTGATATGCTTGAAGTGCTTTAGAAACCTGAAGATCAACCTACGCATAGCTAGTTTCTTTGCAACGGGCCAGATAATTTCATTCTGAAATATTTAAGGCCAAACTTGCCCTTTACTTTCTTTTCAGCAGTACCCCCAACAACAGTTTTACATAACCAACAGCCAATAATCTTGATATTCCCTCATTCTGCCTGAAATGACTTATGTTAAAAAAAAAATTAAAAAAAAAAGGTATTAAGGAAGGAAGTCAATGCAAACACGCTCTTTTCAAAAAAATGCAGGTCCTCGAAACCAACACGAGCCAACTTTGTAGTACAGACCTCTTGTCTTTCCAAGGACAAGGCATATTAGAAATTGTTGAAGCAAGCAGTTACAATTTTAGTTCTTAAAATCAGTCTAAAATATTGTACAGGGGAAGGTGTGGCCTTATTAACAACCTCAGTTAAAAGCCTCAGTGATTTCTAGTGAAAGCAGTTTAATTCTACATAAGATAAATCTTTATCCATATAAATTCTTCTCCCTGAAGAAATTCTGACATACTCTCTATTCTACATTAACTCATTAATATATTAATTTCCAATCTACACTAATAAAATGCAGCAGCATTTCACATCAACAGTCTGCGCTAACAGAGGTTAAACTGACAAAACTGGAATATACCTTCTGACATGCCTGAAACGCTTCATCAAGATACTGAAGTTCCCACCAGTTTCAAAGGGCTAACACAGACAACTTCACGTGAAATATCTTTTTTCAAGTCATCATAATTAAGGCCAAGGGTGCTTCCCCTGGAGACACTGGTACATATATATATATCTATCTCCTAGTTACATAAGCAGGTGTACTACATACAATAAAGCTTGCTTATAAAGCAACATTCACATGTACAGTAGGCAAATAAATAGATTCTGTCACAGTGCATTACTCTACCAATATTTCTAACCACATTTGTTAGCATGAGATTACAGTCTGAGCACTGCCAGCCTGCAGAACAGAGAAGCAGGGAGCAATACAGCTGCTCCCGTTAACAGAGCGTAGGTTTCAGGTAAGAAGTTTTTCCCCCTCAGTCTTGATCCAGTCCCTTAAAATCCAAATTTCAGAGCAGAAGTCATTAGGTTTGAAATAAAATAATATAAAATGGGTATATTTAGGTCATAAAATGATCTAAAATGTCCACAAAGTCACATACAAAATCCAGGAACTTTGCTAAATCTCAGTAAAATGAAATATTTTAAATAGGAGAAATCATCACTCTTCTGGAAATACAGATAGCTTTCTTGATCACAAGTAGTCTTTTACAGATCTATACTTAACAAAACCCTACTTTTGTTGTCATACTACAAATAAGTCTCACTGTCACAGATGCCACCTGTTAATCTTTAGCAGAACAGCATGACGTATAATACACGTAAAAACAGCTTTTGTCAGCGAAGCACACAGAAATGCGGTAATTTGGCAGTATAGGCCTGCGCTAAACCTATATTTGTGTTCATAAGTCATTTGGGGGGCTGCACGTGTTTCTGCTTCAGTATTTTTTGTGATGATGATGTGGGTACAGAGGCAAATGAATTACTCAGTTTTCTGTGAAGCTGAACAGTCATTACTCTTTACTTTGCAATATGCTATTGAGACATTCATCTTAAAAAGATTTTAAACTCTCTAAATTATCATCAGTTTGTATAGTTTGTCAACCACAACTCTTCTACAGTAATGCTTTTTCTCTCCCTTACTTAAAAAAAAAGGGGGGGGGGGGGAAGAAAAAAAAAGAACAAGAGCACTGCTCCAGCTGATGCAATTCAAACAAGCAACAACAAAGGCAACTTCATTCCAGCTCTCCTGGCAGCAACACTGCTATTACAGAATCACAGAACAGCTGAGGTAGGAAAGGACCTCTGGAGGTCATCTAGTCAAACTCCTCTGCTCAAGCAGGGCCACCTAGACCACGTTGCCCAGGACCATGTCCAGGTGGTTTTTGAAGATCTCCAAGGATGGTGACTTCACAACTTCTCTGGGCAACTTGCACCAGTGCTCAGGCACCCTCACAGTGAAAAAGTGTTTCCCGATATTCAGAGGGAACCTCCTGTATTTCAGTTTGTGCCCATTGCCTCTGGTCCTGACACTGGGCACCACTAGTAAAGTCTGGTTCCATCCTCTTTCCATCCACACTCCCTGAAGGTATTTAGGTACATTGATAAGATCCCCCTTGAGCCTTCTCGCCTCCAGGCTGAACAGTCCCAGCTCTCTCAGCCTTTCCTCATCAGCCCCTTAATCATCTTCCTGATGCTTTGTTGGACTCCCTCCAGCATGTCCATCTCTCCTGTGTACCAGGGAGCCCAGACCTGGACCCAGCACTCCAGGTGTGGCCTCATCAGTGCTGAATCAAGAGGCAGGATCACCTCCCTCCACCTGCTGGCAATGTTCCTCCTAAATGCAGCCCAGGATACCATTCACCTTCTTTGCTGCAAAGGCACATGGCTGGTTCGTGTTCAACCTGGTGTCCACCAGGACACCCAGGTCCTTTTCTGCCAAGCTGGTTTCCAGCCGGTCAGTCCCCAGCCTGTGCTGGTGCCTGGGGGTGTTCCTCCCCAGGGGCAGGGCTTTGCACTTGCCTTTGAACTACTATTTATTCCACATGTATAGCCCAAGTTAGGTAATAACAGCTTGACCAAACATCCTATCATTTAAATATGCAATAATTGGAGTAACTTCCAAATGAGAAAAGAGATTTTGAGCCCTGCCAGCCCTTTGCAGTTCCAGAACACCTAATTCAGGGGGACTACACCAACCCCAAAAGTAAATTGCTCTCTCTTTAATAGCTAAACATTTGCTATGGGACAATTCAGAATATGTGAGTCAGATGTGGAGGTTTGACAGGTAATTAATTTAAAAAGGAGGCTGAAAAAGAAAATAGCTAGCTTTCAAGGAAGGCAGGGGGAGGGGTGTTAAAAAAAAAAAAAAAGATAGGTTCTTCAGCTGCAGGAACACTGATAGCATCCACACTTGCAGTTTCCTTTTCCTCACAGATCAATTATTATGAAGGATACAAAAATGAACCGCTTTGTGGTTCTGGCAGACCAGCAAAGACAAGTTCATGGGAAGGACTGGTAAACTGAATGATAAAGTTGTGCAATGGAAACTTGGTATTTCCCCCCTGGCACAAGTGGAAAACTCATTCCCTTTATATGCATGATTAATATGAGAATGTCAGCCTACCCTCTTCTATCATGAGTCACGAAACAAGATGCTAATTTCAGAGACCCTACCAAAGAAAGGTTCAATAATGTATTTATAATGGGAAGAAGGTGAAGAGTGCATTACATTTGCTCAAGAAAAAGCATGCTGCAAAAACATCGCTCCTCCCAGCCCAAAGTCCTTCATTTCATTTGGAGCTTGCAGCGTGCTAAATGTCTTCCTAACGCCCAATAGTGGCCATTTCCTCTTAAGAGATAAGGACAGTTTAAGGACAAATTAGAATGAGAAAATAAATAAATGTATATGACATTTACAGTCTCGAGAACTGAAACAGAATGAAAGCCAAGTCAGGATGTCGGGCATGTTAAGAAGGAAGCTACAGCATTCAGAAGTGCCTTCAATGCAAAGAACCAGAAGACCGAAACTACAGGCCTTTGTGCCTAGTCAACAGCAGCTCTCCCGTCACATTCTTCTTCCCTTCTTAACTCTTCATGCCCTACTTAAAGTTAGAATATCAGCCAAAGTAGTTATTACTTCCAAGTTACATTTTTGTTAAAATGATTATATTTTTGTTTCTAAGCATCTTAAGTGAGATGCTGGTATAATAAAAAATGCCTTTCTCTAAAATAAAGAAAAAAGGAATAATTCTCTTCACTAACATCAGTTATTTTGCTAATGATAGATGTATACAGCAAGAAAATAAAATAATGCAAGTCATCTCCATGCAACAGATTTCATCTGTATTCCAAGACACTTATTTTAATCTCTCTTCCCACTCCCCATCTTTTAAGTGTGTTGTACTTCATGAAGACCTAAAAAAAAATCATCACGTTTCACAGGGATATTAAATATTTATTTTTATCATGCTGAAATAAAAATACAAAATAAGTAAAGACAAGTGACAATCGCTTACAAAATCACAATAAACTGATATATTTATTCTCAGAATTTTTGCATCTTTCCTATAATAAGGACAGACAACAAAAGGAAAAATGACAACTTAATTATGGTTTGATTTAATTTTTTATTAATAGAAACCTTAAATCCTAGCA